TAATTAGGTGCACCAGTGATCTGATATAATAAATTTTCCGGACAGATAGTGGCATCAGGATTAGAAAATTTGAGGTTTAGCGAGAAGGAATTGGATTTAGAAGAAGCAGAGGCAGATGTGGGCGGTTGGGGGAGAGTGGAAGGGGGGTGGGAGGTGGAAGGCAACGAAGGCATCGTCTAACTTAAGCTAAAAAAATCCTTTAGGAGTCAGGAATCGCGGGAAGAACTAAAAGCCATAAATGAAATCGAAAGAAACCCAAAGTATTTCTTCTCCTATGCCAAATCAAAATCGAGAACAACGTCCAGTATTGGGCCCCTACTTAAACAAGATGGGTCCTACACAGATGACAACAAGGAAATGAGTGAGCTACTCAAGTCCCAATATGACTCAGTTTTTAGCAAGCCGCTAACCAGACTGAGAGTCGAAGATCAAAATGAATTTTTTATGAGAGAGCCACAAAATTTGATTAACACAAGCCTATCCGATGTTATCCTGACGCCAAATGACTTCGAACAGGTGATAAATGACATGCCCATGCACTCTGCCCCAGGGCCAGACTCATGGAACTCTGTGTTCATCAAGAACTGCAAGAAGCCCCTATCACGAGCCTTTTCCATCCTATGGAGAGGGAGCATGGACACGGGGGTCGTCCCACAGTTACTAAAAACAACAGACATAGCCCCACTCCACAAAGGGGGCAGTAAAGCAACAGCAAAGAACTACAGACCAATAGCACTAACATCCCATATCATAAAAATCTTTGAAAGGGTCCTAAGAAGCAAGATCACCACGCATCTAGAAACCCATCAGTTACACAACCCAGGGCAACATGGGTTTAGAACAGGTCGCTCCTGTCTGTCTCAACTATTGGACCACTACGACAAGGTCCTAAATGCACTAGAAGACAAAAAGAATGCAGATGTAATATATACAGACTTTGCAAAAGCCTTCGACAAGTGTGACCATGGCGTAATAGCGCACAAAATGCGTGCTAAAGGAATAACAGGAAAAGTCGGTCGATGGATCTATAATTTCCTCACTAACAGAACACAGAGAGTAGTCGTCAACAGAGTAAAGTCCGAGGCAGCTACGGTGAAAAGCTCTGTTCCACAAGGCACAGTACTCGCTCCCATCTTGTTCCTCATCCTTATATCCGACATAGACAAGGATGTCAGCCACAGCACCGTGTCTTCCTTTGCAGATGACACCCGAATCTGCATGACAGTGTCTTCCATTGCAGACACTGCAAAGCTCCAGGCAGACATCAACCAAATCTTTCAGTGGGCTGCAGAAAACAATATGAAGTTCAACGATGAGAAATTTCAATTACTCAGATATGGTAAACATGAGGAAATTAAATCTTCATCAGAGTACAAAACAAATTCTGGCCACAAAATAGAGCGAAACACCAACGTCAAAGACCTGGGAGTGATCATGTCGGAGGATCTCACCTTCAAGGACCATAACATTGTATCAATCGCATCTGCTAGAAAAATGACAGGATGGATAATGAGAACCTTCAAAACTAGGGAGGCCAAGCCCATGATGACACTCTTCAGGTCACTTGTTCTATCTAGGCTGGAATATTGCTGCACACTAACAGCACCTTTCAAGGCAGGTGAAATTGCCGACCTAGAAAATGTACAGAGAACTTTCACGGCACGCATAACGGAGATAAAACACCTCAATTATTGGGAGCGCTTGAGGTTCCTAAACCTGTATTCCCTGGAACGCAGGAGGGAGAGATACATGATTATATACACCTGGAAAATCCTAGAGGGACTAGTACCGAACTTGCACACGAAAATCACCCACTACGAAAGCAAAAGACTTGGCAGACGATGCACCATCCCCCCAATGAAAAGCAGGGGTGTCACTAGCACGTTAAGAGACCATACAATAAGTGTCAGGGGCCCGAGACTGTTCAACTGCCTCCCAGCACACATAAGGGGGATTACCAACAGACCCCTGGCAGTCTTCAAGCTGGCACTGGACAAGCACCTAAAGTCAGTTCCGGATCAGCCGGGCTGTGGCTCGTATGTTGGTTTGCGTGCAGCCAGCAGCAACAGCCTGGTTGATCAGGCTCTGATCCACCAGGAGGCCTGGTCTCAGACCGGGCCGCGGGGGCGTTGACCCCCGGAACTCTCTCCAGGTAAACTCCAGGTCCAGGTAATTACGAAAAGATGTAATTGGAGGTGACAATCGGCCAAAAAGTGAGAGTACTCAGCTAGGCAAGTACGTGTAAGTAGTCACACGTACTTGCCTGGCGCAGGACACTGAGGAGGTGAACTGTAGCTTGATGGAGCACTGTATATCCTGAGTGGCGGCGAGACTGGCTGTATGGCGTGCAGTCAACAGGCGAAGAGAATTCAGGCAGCAAGAGGCTTCCTGCCCTTCGGTCGGCAACCACCGACGTACCAATCCTGATGGTGGAGAGGAAGACGAAGGTCCAGCAAGCACTACTCAAAGCACTACTCAACACGGGGTAATTCGAGAGAGGCGAGATCGTCGATGTGTTAGGTAAGCACACGTCACCACTCGAGCTAAGTCGACTGACACTATGAAACAATATATGGCTTAGACTGAGGTGTAATACTAGTGGTAGTAGTAGTAGTAATATAAGTTGTAATAGTAGTAGTAATACAATATGGTAGAACAATCAACTTGCACATGAGTAAAAGATAAAAAAAACTATTACTTGGGTAGCATAAAAATAGCTTAGACAAATATTTCTGTTGATGTTGTTAGGTAAGACACATATGCAACAGTTAGGTATCTTTATTTCGAAACGTTTCGCCTACACAGTAGGCTTCTTCAGTCGAGTACAGAAAAGTTGATAGAAGCAGAAGAGACTTGAAGACGATGTAATCAGTCCATCACCCTTAAAGTTTTGAGGTGGTCAGTCCCTCAGTCTGGAGAAGAGTATTGTTCCATAGTCTGAAACAATATGCATATTAAGTACTCATTATGTACATAACAGAAAATGATAACAAAGATAATTATTATTTATCAGAGTTACATAGACAAGTAGGAATTTGGGACACCTAGGTCGCAAAAAATGTCCCCCTTCGATACCTACTTCTGTCATATCCACAAGTTGCTCTGGACCTATTAATCATAAATTATTTGTATCACCAGGAATGCTGGTAAATATATAAATTTGTGGACTGTATATTAAAAATAATAAATGATTATAGATACACATATATACACATTTATACAACAGAAGGAGAATATATCTTAATCATAACACTCACCAATTTGACTGGAGATTAATGTGTCATGTACAGGACCCCCCCCCCCTTTTGCCTACATTTATGAAGAATTTACTGGCCAGAAATTAAACATAATTTAGACAGCTTATCTGAGGTTCCTGGAATTGTCCTGTCCTGTCGCCTGATTCTCAAGTTATGCAGGAATGCACATCCAACAATTTCGCCTCCTATTTGAGATGTGTCAGCCCAATTTTAACCTCTAGAGCACGAAAATTCCTTCCCATTACACTAACGTTGTATCCAATTCAAATTAACAATGGCGACTAACCTCCCCAGCCGCAGGTTTCCCATTTTCGATAACATACTTCTTTTAAAAATACAATATAGGGCATCTGTTTACCTATAAATTACCGTATTTCCGGAAAATATATACAGTATTTTCCACACTGTTACTGTGCAGCAATATTCCAGCCTAGATAGAACACAAACACTATAATATACCTATTGGGCCATACCTGTAATAGGCGCAGCTATGCAAAATTGTTATTTGAATAAATAATGATTTTCAACACATGAGGGGTTTTTGGGGACTGAAGAAAATAATGGGGAGGCTCAAGGAAATTATGGGGCTGAAGCCCCCTAGGCTTCCCCATGGCGCAGCCACTGACAGGCATGTGGCTCCGGCATGATAAAATGATAAGTGGACTGAGTGGTGTCAGTCTCCCTAAGTCTCAAGTGAGTAAAGGTCACCTGAGGTTCCTTTCCAGTTATTATTCTCAGACTGCTAACTAACAACCCAAGATTGTAATTTACTTTGTCAGTTCATCGGTTCTATCATACATCTGAAGACCACTGTGAGAAGGAATCTACAGAAGGTGAAATTCAACTCCACTGTCTACATTATTACCATTCCTTTGGCTTCTGACGCAAATATGCCACAGTTGATACTCAGGAAGTTAACACCTTTTATGGATGGTGGAGAATCAGTATCAACCTTAGATACATGGACGCATTTGAGTGCAAAGAGTATAACAATTCAGTTTGAAGGGTAGAAGCACAGTTACCTGGAGTTTACCTGGAGAGGGTTTCGGGGGTCACCGCCCCCGCGGCCCGGTCTGAGACCAGGCCTCATGGTGGATCAGGGTCTGATCAACCAGGTTGTTTTAGATGTGTGCCCCAATTTCTACATGAGAGCCGCCACTCTGCATGACAACAGCGGGAATCCCATCTTTACCAGTGGGTTGGTGAACAGAGCCATCAATTACCTTAATATCTTTATTAAGCACACCCATCCTGTGGGCGGTAGTCAAAAGATTAGACTCACATAATGGATCCAAGGACTGATGCTACTCTCACAAAATCTATTCTTCTTAATCTATCCCATCTTCCACACTCACTTCCCCAAAGTGTCTTTCTTTACATAAGTTATGCTAACATAGATTTCATCTCCCATCTTTATTGTTTTGTTTCCAGTAACTCTAAAATTATTTTTATTTGGGGATTATTATTTTATACCTCATTTTACTCAGAATAAGTGGAATACCAGAATTTAGCTGCTAATAAGTTGAGGACTACATAAATCCATTACCATATTAACAAATATGAGATATACCTGTTGCTGGAATAAGGAACACATTTGACTAACCTAGCTATGAAATAACTAGATTCCAGATGTTTGTTATATGACCCTTACAGCTTTAGTTCTCCAAGAATAAAATCTAGATTATAAGTCACTTTGACGTTTTTGGGTGATCCTTGGTAATTTACACTGTGTACCTGTGCCTATAATAAAAAATAGGGAAGGTTGAGGAGGTTTCTGACTGCGTGAGCCCTTAAACCCCCACAATAACAACACTAAGGTTCAGCTGCTGCTTTCCTCTTCTCTCTGCTATATTTGCTTCCTATCTACATTATTTATAAAGGTCAGCATCATATAAACTTATTACAGTAGATATGAATAATTTGTATGTGTTTTATACTAGATAACATATTGTATAAGGTCAGTTTATAAACAAAAGTGGAGTGTCATTATGACTGATCTCTTACCATAACGTTTCCTTATATAACAGGAGGGTCTTGTTTCTTAGAAATATATCTATATAATTTTTAACATCCACAGGTAATTTTTAAGGGCGTATTTGAAAAAATGCCATGTCCTCATATCAAGTTTATAATCTAGATTTTATTCTTGGAGAAGTAAAGTTGTAAGGGTCATATAACAAACATTTGGAATTTAGTTATCTCATAACTAAGTTCAATCACATGTGTTCCTTATTCCAGCAACAGGTATATCTCATATTTGTTTGTAACAGTGGTAATGGATTTATGTAGTGTTCAGCTCATTCTATGTGGAATGAGTTGAGCATAATTAAAAAAAATACGTCATGCCCACATGTTAAGTTTATAACCTAAATGTTATTCTTAGGGAACCAAAGCTGTGAGATTCATATAACAAACATCTAGAGTCTAGTTATCACATAGCTAAGTTCAGTTAGATGTGTTCTTTATTCTAGCAATAGGTGTACGTATATCATATTTGTTTGTTTCTATGGTACTGAATTTATGTAGTGCTCAATTCATTCCATATAAAATTAGTTGAGCACTACACTCTGTGTACTTATGGTGCATAGGTTATACTTTGAACTATTAATGCCAGAATAACTCAAGAAAGCCAAATAGTATTGCTTATTTCCACTGGGGCTCTTTGATCTTCTTATCCAGTACACTACCCACAGCAGCTAGCTAACACCCAGGTACCTTCTTACTGCTAGATGAAAAGGTGCAACAGGTGTAAGGAGACATGCTCAACCTTTCCACTCATGCTGGGGTTAAACCCAAACTCTCCAGATGTAAATTGAAGGCACTACCACTTGAGCCATGAGTAATACCAGAAGTCACTCCTGCTTTCCTTCAACTTCCAATGCAGTGTCCTTTAATTTTAACCTTGAATTGGTTGATATTACAACTGATTGGTACCCCAACTAGTTGGTACCCCAGCTGGTTGATACCCCAACTGGTTGGTACCCCAACTGGTTGATACCCCCAACTGGGTGATATCCCAACTGGTTGATGTGACTTGTTTCTGTTAGGGATGCCTTCAACATTTTCACTAGAATGCAATTTGCAATGCAACAAATAACATACCTAGGTAGCTATTTACTGCTACATGAATAGACAGCAGCTGTAAAAAGTCCTGCCTAATCTTCTCACATTGTCAGAAAATTTAAATACAAACCCTTTCTGTTGTGAGTCTAATGCTTAGCAAATATTGTATGTATAAAAAAAATTGTTTTGCATCTGTTATCCATTAAGATAATGGTTATCTGTTATCTTTTAAGTGGTTCTTTAGATTATCCTCCCTACACCACGGCCTCTGACTCATGTTCATGAGACAGAACGACAAGATCAGCAATCTTGGCAGAGTTCAAAAAAAAAAAAAAAATTAACTAGTTTCCATTTAATACACATTTGACCAGATGGCAGTACCTCCCTGTGTGGTTCCTGTCTACCAACCTACTAATTGTATTTTACAAATAAATTTTTTATAGGCATACAGTGGTAGTGACAAATGATGATAATTTAAAAACTGTGATAAATTTAAGATGACAGATATGTGACTCACATTTGTCATTTGACATTGGGTACCATATTTTAGCCAAACAGTATATTGATGTGTTAATATAAGTAGGCATTTTTTTTTTCAGAAATCAAGCATGGCTGATAAAATTGTGAGAGTTTTGTCTATCCAGAGCCATGTCGTGTCTGGTTATGTGGGGAATAAAAGTGCATGCTTTCCACTGCAGGTTTGTATGACCCTCAAGTGTTAAGAGGGATTTTTAAGATAAATGTGGATATTTGTATATAGTATATGCAGCTGGTATTTTATATTATGAGGTTTTAAATACATGAATATGAAAGTTTTAGATATGTAGCTAAAAAAGTAAGAGAAAATTACTGTTAATGTGATTGCTCACTGACTTTTATAAAGCATTATAAATTACATTTCTAAATGAAGATTATTAATGTTGTCAACAGGTTCTGGGTTTTGAAGTAGACACCATCAATTCTGTTCAGTTTTCAAATCACACTGGATACAAGCACTACAAGGGCCAAGTTTTGGATGACACACAATTAGGTAAGAAGCATATCAGTAAAATATTGTCATGTATTAATTACGGTTGAACAGGCCATAATTTGTAAGCTTCATAATTTGCCTGCTATGATTATCAAACTTTTTTTTTTACTGAAGGGCCTCCCATGAATAGCTCCAATTATTAACAGATTTTTTCATGGTGTGCATTTTTTTTCATGGTATATGAGTCATAAACTGAAAACCAACTACAGTCAAGCCTCAGTTTTTGTATCCCCTAGTTTGTATGTAAAACTATAGTTATTCTCTATAAAATGTATTTTTTGTTAATATTTTTGGGTGTCTGGAACGGATTAATTGGATTTACATTACTTCTTATGGGAAATATTGCTTCAGTTTTCATACAATTCGGGTTTTAATCAGACTTTTTCGAACAGATTAATCATGAAAACCGAGGTTCTACTGTATTGAATTTCCTTCATGATGTGCTCGAAGGATTTCTCTTGCTCAAATTCCTCATTTTTTGGGGAATTCTGTTGACAAATATTAATAACAGTTGCATCAGAGCAATATTTAAAGAGATTAGTCTCAGAAACACAGAACAAGTGAAAACCTGAATCAAAATTTGGTATATGAACAGACTGTAGTTGTAAAATATTTAGCAATTCAGAATTCTCTAAAGACCTCTGGAAGCCTAACCATGAAATTTTTCTGGGGTTCAGCTGTGCTCTGTGTGAAAATGCATTATATTTTTTTTGTATGGATTTATTTTGATATGTTTTTAATTACTGTAATAAAAGCTCTAGACATGTGACATGCAATTTCAGAATAATGGCCTTCATCAGGTTAATAGGCTTTAACCCTTTGACTGTTTTCGACGTATAAATACGTCTTACGAGCCAATGTTTCTGACGTATATATACTCAATAATTCTAGCGGCTTCAAATCAAGCGGGAGAAAGCTGGTAGGCCCACATATGAGAGAATGGGTCTGTGTGGTCAGTGTGCACCACATAAAAAAAATCCTGCAGCACACATTGCGTAATGAGAAAAAAAAAAACTGATCGTTTTTTTTGGAATAAAACGCCGACTTTGAGGTGTATTTTCGTATAGTATTTATCGTTGTATTCGCATTTTCATGGTCTTAGGTGATAAAATGAAAAACATATTGCAGAAATAGAGATGATTTTCATTACTTTGACGATGAAAACGACCTTGAAACTGAGGTCAAAGTAGGGGAAATGTTCGATTTTTACCAATGTTCAGGAGTAAATAAATCACACACGTCCAATACACGTCAACTGGGGAGTCTGATATTCTTTCACTAGTGCACTGATATTATTTATACCATTTTTACAATAATGCAGTAGTCTGCATAACAGTAAATTTTGTATTTTTTTGTATGAATAAAAAATCAAAATAGAAAGCAATAATAATATAAGAGGGGCCTAGAGATGTGACTAATGAACAGAGCATATGTTATTTTAGTGCCACAAATGTCTACCTTGTTTATTCTGGACCCTATTTTGAAATTGGCATCTTTTTTAGTTTGCATGAAATTGGCCAAATTGCCAATTTCTGACCATATTGGGTAGTCCAAATTAGTAAATGGGAGGTTTCTTGTACTCAGCTGATAGATAAAATGGAGTTCTAAAGAAGTAGCTATGAGTTTGGTCAACTGGAACAACAGAATTGGCTGAAAATAGGGCTCAAAGTCGGCGAAATTGCCGATACGCATATGTCGCCGAGACAGCTAACTTCGCAGGAGCATAATTCCATGAGTTTTCGACCAAATTTCGAACTTTTGGTGTCATTATCATCGGGAAAAGATTCTCTATCATTTCATAAGAAAAAATAATTTTTTTTTTTTCAAAAATTGAGCGACATAGAATGACAGTTTCAGAGAGGGGCCTGAAACAGTCAAAGGGTTAAACCCAACAAACCAACTGCTAGGGAAAGGGAAGAGGGTGTCACCTTCCATACTCAGGAAAATCAAATACGTACTGTATAGCGAAAAAAGTAATACATACCATAAGATAACAGGATAGAGATATCACATAAGTGCACACAACTTTATTACACAAAGGGAAATAGTAATGAAAAGTGTTAATAATAACCATAAACAAGAAAATAAAATAAAGTATAATTTAACCAGGTTACACAGGAATAACAGAATAGTCACATGCATATACTGTACTATTGCAGTACTAAAAACCAGCTGATGTATAAAGCCTAGCATTGAAGTGTAATCCAGTATAAAATAGGAGGGGACAAGGTTGATGGTGGTGGTAAAAGTAGACAGTAGAAAGAAGAGAAATTAGGCTGAAATAGGCAGGAATCAAATTGAACGTGCATATCTCAGGCGTATAGAGGTACCGGCAGGCAAGTAGACTAAAAGAAACCTGGGAACAGTAGCCAGCAGGCTACTGCACTGCCAGAGAAACCAAAAGAATAAGAATAAAGCCTATCAAAGACTTCCTCTTGTACATCAACCAGCAAGACTGAGTAGTTTTATCAGTGATATCCAGAACTTCTAAAATACAGAGTCATCCGAAAATCAAGCATATCTTAAAAAGGCCAAATATCATTGGCTCACTGTACTGTTATGATAAAGATAAAGGTTTATTTCTTTGTAAAGGTTACAATGTGTGATTACAGTTTTGGTTTGCTAAGGAGAAAGAAAGCCACTACCATGCCAGGGCATTTCAGGCAGACTAATCCTAATACATAGTAACTGCTTAAAACTAGACAGATAATAGTACATAGTAACTACTTAAAACTAGACAAGATAGTAGTGTTAACAATATGACAGTTATATTTAATCTTAATAATAATGCAAGGTAGTCAAGGTAGATGTTTTTAAGAGTAATAATCATGAAGCTGTACATAATAAAAACAATATTACAGATAACGATGATTGATAAAACAGAATCATGACTACGAAAAGATGTTTAGTAGAAGTTAGTTGTAGTCTTCAGGTGATCGATGATAAGATGTTCCTCATCATGTAATGATCTAATGAGATGTTTCATTCTCAGGTAATGAAACTGCCAACAAACTCAATAGTTTCTTCTTGACCATACGGTCACTTCTAGCCCTTTATATTACAAATGCACAAATTCTATTTTAGTATGTAATTATTTTAGAGACAATTACTCTTTTTTTTTATGGAGTACTCTCTTTGCTAGATTCATAATAAAACCAGTTAAACAATGCAGTTACTCAAACTCAAACTTTCATTTCATGAAAATATACATAAATATTACAGCAAATTAGATTGTCCTGGTAATACAATTTTTGCATGTTCCAAATAAATTATGTTCTGGGCATACCAGAGTTAATTAGTACTTACAAACTATACTTAACACCAGCACTAACATGTAACATATAAATTCTTTGCAAGTGTAAGGTAGTTTAGATTCCAGTAAAGGTTCATTAATGAATAGGCTAGCTGTTTAAGGTACTAGTGTCATAGAAGTTATCTATTTTTATTGTATAATATTGTTTATCCTAGGTAGTAGGTTGGTAGACAACAACTGCCCAGGGAGGTACTACCGTCCTGCCAAGGGAGTGTAAAACGAAAGCCTATAATTGTTTTACATGATGGTAGGATTGCTGGTGTCTTTTTTCTGTCTCTTAAACATACAAGATTTCAGGTACATCTTGCTACCTCTACTTACACTTAGGTCACACTACACATACATGTACAAGCATATATATACTCACCCCTCTGGGTTTTTTTCTATTTTCTTTCTAGTTCTTGTTCTTGTTTATTTCCTCTTATCTCCATGGGGAAGTGGAACAGAATTCTTCCTCCGTAAACCATGCATGTTGTAAGAGGCGACTAAAATGCCAGGAGCAAGGGCCTAGTAACCCCTTCTCCTGTATAAATTACTAAATTTAAAAAGAGAAATTTTCATTTTTCTTTTTGGGCCACCCTGCCTTGGTGGGATACGGCTGGTTTGTTGAAAAAAAAGGAAATATTGTTTATGGTAATCAGATGAAGTTTTACATCAAGTTTCAAGAAATTTGCCATGACAAAGTTTATGAAGCTAATGAGAGTCTTTTTCACTCTTCAGACAGGGTGTAACTACGATCATACAATAAAGCCTCTCCTCGTTTAGCGACATACTTGTTTACCGATGACTCGGACTTACGACGGGCTCTCTGACCAGTATGCCTACTAAAATAATGTATATTAGAGCTGATTTCCTCTAGTATTCTGTTTATTACAGTATATAGTACACTGTTGTATAAATATTTGAAAATATACCAGAAATGTTATAAATGGTGCAATGGTAACATTAAAACAATATCAAAGATGATTGACACAAACCCACTGCCATTATAGTATGCTCCTCACTTACCAGCGAATTCGTTTACCGACAGGGTCTTAGGAACGGAACTCCGTCGTTAAGTGAGGAGAGGCTGTACAAGAAAGCTGCACGTGTGTTTTCACTAGCCATTTCAATACTCTTTATAAGTCATTTTAATCTAAAACCTTGGTAGGCATACCAGTATTCAGATCAGCCAGAATCATTCAGTAAGGCAGTGAACTTGATTATTGTATAATAAATATGCTAGACCTAGGTAGTAGGTTGGTAGACAGCAACCACCCAGGGAGGTACTACCATCCTGCCAAGTGAGTGTGAAACAGAAGCCTGTAATTGTTTTACATGATGGTAGGATTGCTGGTGTCTTTCTTTTTCTGTCTCATAAACATGCAAGATTTCAGGTACGTCTTGCTGCTTAGGTCACACTACACAAGCATGTGCAAGCATACAGTGGAGCCCCGAGTTTTGTGATTAATCCGTTCCAGAGAATCTGCTGAATGGCAAAACCATTTTCCCCATACGAAATAATGGAAATAAAATTAATCTGTTCCAGACACCCAAAAATATTAAAAAAAAAAAAAAAATCAAATTAAATAAAGATTTACATACAGAAAACAATGAGAAATCAAGTACATACATATATAAAATAATGATAACATTACACTTACCTTTACTGATGATTTCTGGGTGGATGAAAGACGGGAGGAGGGGATAGGAGGAAGGTGTATACTATTGTTTGGAAGGGGAATCTCCTTCCATAAAGACTTCAGGTAGCAAGTCCATTTCTGGGGTTACTTCCCTTCTTTGTTTTTTAATGACACTGGACCCCTGTCGCACAAAATATCTGCCCAGAGAGCTCTGTTTCTGGCATTTCTTTAGGATTTGTCTGAAGTGGGACACAACACTGTCATTGTACATGTTGCCAACACGGCCTGCAGCAGCTTTGTCAGGGTGAAGTTCATCCATAAATAAATGCACTTCAGTCCACCTTGCACAAATGTCCTTAATCTTTGAAGAAGGCACCTTCCTCCATCTCTCTTCCTCCTCCTCTGCAGCAGTTTCCTGAGCTGTGGTCTCTTGCTGTTGCAGATGAAGCTCTTACAGCTCTGCAGTGGTTAGGTCTTCATCATGGTCCTCCACCAACTCTTCCACATCCTCGAAACTCACATCCAACCCCATGGAATTCCACAATGACACAATACTTTCCACAACTGGCATAGACTCCTTAGGGTCAGCCCCAAACCTTTCTTGTACACATTCTGGCCACAATTTTCTCCAAGCAGAGTTCAAAGTCCTGAAAGTTACTCCCTCCCAAGCCTTACCTATAAGGTTTATGCAAGTGAGGATATTAAAGTAATCTTTCCAGAACTCTCTTAGGGTCACTTCAGTGTCTGAGGTTACTTCAAAACACTTTTGAAACACTGCTTTGGTGTACAGTTTTTTGAAGTTTGAAATGACCTGCTGGTCCATGGGCTGGAGGAGAGGAGTTGTATTAGGGGGCAAGAACTTCACCGTGATGAAACTAAACTCCTCCACCATTTGCTCTTCCAAGTCTGGAGGATGAGCAGGAGCATTGTCCATTACCAGGAGGCACTTGAGTGGCAATTTATTTTCCAGCAGGTATTTCTTCACACTGGGGCCAAACACTTCATTAAACTAGTAAAGGAAAAATTCCCTTGTGAACCATGCCTTACTGTTAGCTTTCCACATCACACACAAATTACTCTTGGCAACACTGTTTTTCTTGAACACTCTGGGATTTTCAGAGTGATGCACCAATAAAGGCTTCACTTTGCAATCCCCACTAGCATTACTACAGAACATGAGAGTTAGCCTGTCTTCATAGGCTTGTGTCCTGGGAGTATCGTTTCCTCCTGTGTGATGTAGGTCCTCTCTGGCATTTTCTTCCAAAAGAGGCCTGTTTCATCACAACTGAACACTTGTTGGGGTTTTAATTCTCCAGTGTCTTTGTACTCCTTAAACTCCTGTACAAACTTCTCAGCCGCTTTTTTGTCAGAACTGGCAGCCTCACCATGCCTTACCACACTGCCACTATACCTTTTAACCTGTAAATGGTTCAAACATATATACTATATGTTTTTACCGCTAGTGCCCCAAACGTATATATATGTTTTATTTGTCATGCATTCAACATTGCTATGATAAGCCTGAGTCGCCTAGGCATGAGAGAATGGGTGTGCGCACTCAGTGTGCGCCATATCAAAATAATTGGGGATGCCTGGGTACCATATGCTCTTTTTTCCTATTAAAAAAACTATTTTTTTTTTCTCAAAAAATTTGGGGCACTACGGGAGAGAACGTATATATACGTTTGGACTGTTTACGGGTTAAATCTCTCAAATCAACCTTTGCTGGCCTTAAAATCACAAGCATCACCACTTGTTGCAGGCATTTTCTTTTCACATATTATCGACTGCATAATACTATCTCATGCTTTTGGGTAATCCACACCAACAATAACCTTTCCACTTCTTCGAGGGTTTGCGAACTCTTTTTTTGTCAGCATATCTACCCCTTTTGCAACAACAGCACACTTTATTTCCTTTCCCTTCGCCATGATCGAAGTGATGGTTGAATGGGGTTTGCCATACATCCTGGCAAGTCCTGTAACAAGCACTCGCTCTCATATTTTTCAATGATTTCCTTCTTGAATTCGATCGTGTTCGTCACTTTCTTTACCAAAGGGCTGGCACTAGCTTTCCTTGGGCCCATGGTGACTTATTTAGCAGTTGCAAGCACAAAAAAACAATGGATTATTATGAAATGTATTGTATGAACCCACAGGGTGATGGTCACGCGCTGGTAAACAATGGCACACTGAGTGTGAATAGTGCGGGAGACTGGCTTTGTGTGCGTGGTGATGGGCGGACGCGTACCGGATGGTCGCCGAATCACAAGTCCAATCACGAACCGCAAAGCTAAATTTTGCTGAAAAAACTTGCCGAAAGTCAGATTTCACAAAAGTTGCGGCCGCCGAATGGCGGGGGTCCACTGTATAGTAGATTCCTGATAGAAATAAGTGAATTTATACAAAGAGAATCCACATAAAGCAAGTTGACTATACAAAGACTGGCGTGGTAGTAGAGCCTGAAACCATGCATCAGGGAGTACCACACCTTGGTACACATTCCTTAAACCATGCATCAGGGAGTGCCATACTCTGGTACACACTCGTTAAATCCTGCATCAGGGAGTACCACATCCCGGTACATACTCCTTAAACCATGCATCAGGGAGTACCACATCCTGATACACATTCCTTAAGCCATGCGCCAGGGGTGTGTATATATACAGTGGACCCCCGCCATTTGGCAGGAGTCCACTGTATATATACACACCCCTTTGGGTTTTTTTCTATTTTCTTAATACAGTGGAACCTTGGTTTTCATCATTAATTCGTTCCAAAAAGTCTGATGAAAACCGAATTTGACGAAAACTGAAGCAACATTTCCCATAAGAAATAATGTAAATCCAATTAATCCGTTCCAGACACCTAAAAGTATTATCAAAAAATACATTTTATAAAGAATAACTATAGTTTTACATACAGAAAACAATGAGAAATAAATATAAAGGACTAATGAAATGGATAACTGAACATTTAATATCACTTTTACCTTTATTGAAGAAGATGAAAGGAAGGGAGAGGGAGGAGGAGAGGTAATTGGTTGGAAGGGGGCTCCCCCTCCAGAAGGACTTCAGGTATCAAGTCCTTATCTGGTTGTCTTTTACTGACACTAGGACCAACTTTAGAGTCACTGTACCCCTGTTGCATAAAAAATATGTCCAGAGAGGTCTGTTTCTGGCATCTCTTTAAGATTTGCCTAAAATGGGACAAGGCATTGTCATTGAACATGTTGCAGACACGGTGATATTTCTCCACAAAACTTTACAGCTTGTTCCACTTTGCACACATGTCCTTAATCACTTCCCGTACATCCTGGTGAGATTGACAACATGTATGCCACTTTCGTAGTTTGATAAAAGTTCTTTCTTGAATCTATCATGTTTCTCACCTTCTTTATGAAAGAACTTTCTTTGGCCCCTTGGTGGCTTATTTAGCAGTCACACTCAATAAACAAGCACAAAAAACAACAGATTATTACGAAATGTTTCAGATGGACGCGCAGGGTAATGCTCACTCAACGAGAAACAAAGCCAGACTGACTCAGAATGCGTGGGATGCTTTATGTGGGCGTGGGCAGGTAGACACATTCGGTACAGTGGACCGACAAAAACCGAGGTGATGAACGAAAACTGGGACAAAATATTGACGAAAAAAATCATTGAAAACCGAATTCGAGAAAAACCAGGGCAAACAAAAACCGAGGTTCCACTATAGTTCTTGTTCTTTTATTCTACTTATCTCCATGGGGTAGTGGAACAGAATTCTTCCTCTGTAAGCCATGTATGTCATAAGAGGCGACTAAAATGCCAGGAGCACTCCTCCTGTATACATTACTAAATTTAAAAGGAGATACTTTTATTTTTCCTTTTGGGCCACCCTGCCTCAGTGGGATACAGCCAGTTTGTTGAAAGAAGAAGAAATATGCTTGACAGTCTCTAAATAATTTGAAAATAGTAAAATTTGGAATGTGACTGTTTACTAATGTGTGACATACATATTGTACTCTTGATCACAGAAAGCTTAATTTTAGACTTGTGCTATGGAGGGTAAACTCATCAAGCATTGATACTGCTGAAGGGCTCTTGATTCAAGGAATTGGACAGTATGCTGCAAAACTCTTTATACATTTCACTTATATTAATTCTCTGTAATATTTTTATTCATATAACTTCTCCAATTACTATCATAGTTCAGCATGTCTGTATTAAATTAATGATTTTTTGCAAAATGATATGCATGGTTGGCCCACACATGCATGTTTATGTATGCATGTCAAATAAAAATTTGCACTGTATGTGTTTCAAATTCTTAATACATTGCAGAAATTATGTGCTTAAGTTTCAGCAGCATAACATTTTCAGTGAGACCTACTCTTTCATGAGTTGCTTTAAATTATTAGCCTTACAGCTTTTAAGTCTATTTTGTATTTAAAAGTGATTTAATTTTGGGATTGTGTTGGTCACTGAAGTTTACTTACTTTAATATACCATTGTCCAGTTGGTGCGTGCAGTGGATTTGTAGGCTAAAATGTACTTTTCAAGGTAAGCTTTTCATAGTTAACCCTTCAACTGTCCAAACATAGATCTATGTTCACTCGCGTAGCGTTCCGAATGTAGTTCTGCGTTTTATTTTACATTTGAAGGCAAGTAAAATAAAATGTAGATCTACATTCGGAGTGCTACGCGAGTGAACATAGATCTACGTTTGGACAGATTAAGGGTTAATATCATAGTCCAGGTGGCAGAGTATACTTGATTTGTTGTGTGTAAAATACTAATTGCTTTAAAAAATTTCCACAGGTGATCTGATAGATGGGTTGAAGAGCAATGGCATTGATTACTACTCGCACCTCTTAACCGGCTACATCGGTTCTGCGTCCTTCCTTCAGAAAGTGAAAAGTGTTGTGGAACACTTGAAGACAGTCAATCCTAACTTAATATATGGTAAAACAAGCACTATCATGATCAAGTTTATCACATGATGAGGAATGTGGAATGTAAAAGTGAGGGAAAGGGGATTATTGTAGAATGTAAAAGCGAGAGAAAGGGGATTATTGTAGAATGTAAAAGTGAGGGAAAGGGAATCATTGTAGAATGTAAGAGTGAGGGGAAGGGGATTGTGGGATGTAAAGGGAAGGGGATCATTGTGGAATGTAAAAGTGAGGGAAAGGAGATAATTTTGGAATGTAAAAGAAGGGCAAGGGGATCATTGTAGAATGTAAAAGGATTTGATATCAGTAGCTAACTCAGATATAGCTGCACTTGTACAGCATACATAGTATCAGAATTATTGCAGATTTTAGTGTGAAAAATTGCCTCTTTGGAAGATACCCAGGACCATTGACTTGGTGAAATATGACAGGCTGGTAGAAGGAGCAGGACCAGGAGGAGGGGGTCATAGATGTATAGTTAAGCAAATACCCATATGTACTAGAAGTGCATAAGTAGATATTTTGTCAGTTTGTAGAGCAAGCTTAATTCACTAGGCAAGGAAGTATGTAAAAGAAACCCTAGGAAGGGTTGGAGGGAGGGGGTAAAGGAGGTTTTGTGTGCGAAGGGCTTGGACTTCCAGCAGGCATGCGTGAGCGTGTTTGATAGGAGTGAATGGAGACAAATGGTTTTTAATACTTGACGTGCTGTTGGAGTGTGAGCAAAGTAACATTTATGAAGGGATTCAGGGAAACCGGCAGGCCGGACTTGAGTCCTGGAGATGGGAAGTACAGTGCCTGCACTCTGAAGGAGGGGTGTTAATGTTGCAGTTTAAAAACTGTAGTGTAAAGCACCCTTCTGGCAAGACAGTGATGGAGTGAATGATGGTGAAAGTTTTTCTTTTTCGGGCCACCCTGCCTTGGTGGGAATCGGCCAGTGTGATAATAAAAAATAATAAAATAATAAAAAAAAAATTTTTTTCAATGCAGGCAGGGTGACCTATAAAGGAAAACGAGTTTTTTCTTTTACATTTAGTAACGTACAGGAAAAGGGTTTACTATACCTCTGCTCCCGGCATTTTAACCCTTAAATGGTCCAAACATATATATACGTTTTTTCAACATCTGAAAGTATGTAAAAAAAATGTAGATCTTCTTTTTTGTTTTACATTTGAAAATGTGTAAAAAAACTTTTATCTACATTTTTTTTTTTGTTATATTTGAAAATATGTAAAAAAAAAAGTAGATCTACTTTTGTAGCAATACGAATTTGAACGTCGATCTGTTTGGACCATTTAACCCTTTCAGGGTCCGTCCCGTAGATCTACGGCTTTACGTTCAGGGTCCAAACCGTAGATCTACGCCATGAGCTCAGCTCACTCTGATAAACTGTGAGTGGTACATTTGGGCCTAGATATGAGAGAATACATCTGTGAGGTATGTGTGCACCACATAAAACAGATCCTGCAGCACACTGTGTATAATGAGAGAAAAAAAATGAAATCATGATTTTTCGATTAAAACAGCAACTTTGCAGTGTTTTTTCGTATGTTTTTTATAGTTGTATTTGCGATTTCTTGGTCTCATTTGATAGAATGGAAGACATATTACAGAAATAGAGATGATTTTGATTGGTTTTAGCACTGGAAATGGCTTGAAACTGAGCTCAAAGTAGCAGAAATGTTAAATTTTTGCCGATATTCAAGAGTAAACAAACGACCTCACACGTCTAATACACGTCAGCTGGTGGGTCTAATATACATTCACAAATATGGTGATGATATTTATACAATTATTACAGTATTGCATAACAGTAAATCTTCTATTTTTTGGTGTGAATAAAAATTCATTATGTGAATAAAAAATCAAAATGGAATTTATTTGTAAAGCCTCAAAACATAACTAATGAACAGAGGAAATGTTAGTTTAGTGCCAGGAATGCCTACATTGTTCATTCTGGACCCTATTTTGAAATTGGAATATTTTGAACTTTGTGTTAAATTGGCCAAATTAACAATTTCCGATCACTTTATTTTGTAGTTGAAACAGTTGACTTGGCGATTTCTTGTGCTCAATCGATAGAATAGAAGTAATACTAGTGAAATAGCTAAGAATTTGGTTGATTGGAATAATGTAATTGGCCTAAAATGGGAGTCAAAGTCGGCAAAATCGCCGATTCGTAAATATCGCTGACACATCAAAATTCGCGAGAGCATAATTTCGTCAATTTTCCACCAAATTTCGTACTTTTTGTTTTATTACCTTCACAAAAAGATTCTCTACGATTTCATAAGAAAAAATAACAAATTTTTTTTTTGAAAATTCTTGGACACTGGTGCATGACTCCAGATTTGGGCCTTGGACCCTGAAAGGGTTAAGGGTTAATGGCATACAAAGGAAGAATTCTTTTCCACTTTCCTGTGGAGAATACATACATAAATTTGAATTGATAATTTCACATTATAGTGAAAATAAATTATAGCAAAACCACTTGTAACAAAGACATGAAACAGTAGATGGTATGGTATGGTACAAATATACAGTAGTATATTTGTACCATGTCATGTAGCATTTTGGAGCTAGAAGAGGTAACATGATTCAGTGATAATGGTTCCTCTTTAATTTCAAGAGGAAATGTAACATCTGCTTTCAACAAACTTGCCATATCCCACTGAGGCAGGGTGGCCCAAAAAGAAAAACAAAAGTTTCATATTATAACTTTAGTAATATATGCAGGTGAAGGGATCACTAACCCCTTGCTCCTGCCATTTTAGTCGCCTCTTATGACATGCATGACTTATGGAGGAAGAATTCTGTTCCACTTCCCCATGGAGGAACTGTAACATGTACAATAATAGTTACTCTTCATCTGGAAGAGGAAATGTGTTATTCCATATTGGTACTGGTTCCTCTTCAACTGGGAGAGGCTGTATGACATCGGACAATACTACCTGTTCTAAGTCTATTAATTGTGGCAGTTTTCCTATCATGAAATGTAATAATAATTGTTTTTAAATTATCAGTCATGTCCAACCAAGAAAGGGTAGCCCATAGGAAACAGTACAATATGGTATATGTCACTCTCGAAGCTGTATGACCCTTCAGTGCTTCCCCATAAATAAAATAAATGTTACATTTTCTCACACTCCAACACCACATCAAGTCATAAAAACCACTTGCTTCCACTCCACACATGCTTAGATGTCCAGCAAGTGTGTGTGAACATGTTAGATAGGAGTGAGTGGAGACAAGTGGTTTTTATGCTTGACGTGCTGTTGGAGTATAAGCAAGGTAGCATTTATGAAGGAATTCAAGAAAACTGGTTAGCCAGACTTAAGTCCTGGGGTTGGGAGGTACAGTACCTGCATGCTGAAGAAGGGGTGGGGATATTTGCAGTTTTAAGCTATAGTATCACTGCCATTGGCAAGACAGTGATGGAGTTAGTGATGGTGAAAGTGTTTCTTCGTTTCTGAGTCACTCTACCACAGTGAGGGAGGAGTAGGGTGACTTGTTGATGGTCGTACAGGATACTAAAATTTACACCATTTTCTTTCATTGTAACATTGTACTTGAACTTGCACTTTGATGCAGATTTTTTTTCTTCTTTACCATTCTATACTCATTTTCAATTTAGCTTGAATATTATCTTAGTTAAAGAATTAAATGGTCTGAATAATTTTATAGTAGAAATTTTTCTGAGAATTTGGAAGATGTTGATATTTTAAAAACTCTTGAATAGCACCTGAGGCAAATAAAATAACATTCGGTCTTGTATTGACATATTTCTTCTTAATATTCTCTGTAGTGGACCAGGTGTTTACAGTGAAACATATAAGTGAACAGTATTTAGATAAGGCTAAAGAGGTCTTTGTGGCATTTTTGGATTTGGAAAAGGCGTATGACAGGGTGGATAGGGGGGCAGTGTGGCAGATGTTGCAGGTGTATGGTGTAGGAGGTAGGTTACTGAAAGCAGTGAAGAGTTTTTACGAGGATAGTGAGGCTCAAGTTAGAGTATGTAGGAAAGAGGGAAATTATTTCCCAGTAAAAGTAGGCCTTAGACAAGGATGTGTGATGTCACCATGGTTGTTTAATATATTTATAGATGGGGTTGTAAGAGAAGTAAATGCGAGGGCCTTGGCAAGAGGCGTGGAGTTAAAAGATAAAGAATCACACATAAAGTGGGAGTTGTCACAGTTGCTCTTTGCTGATGACACTGTGCTCTTGGGAGATTCTGAAGAGAAGTTGCAGAGATTGGTGGATGAATTTGGTAGGGTGTGCAAAAGAAGAAAATTAAAAGTGAATACAGGAAAGAGTAAGGTTATGAGGATAACAAAAAGATTAGGTGATGAAAGATTGGATATCAGATTGGAGGGAGAGAGTATGGAGGAGGTGAATGTATTCAGATATTTGGGAGTGGACGTGTCAGCGGATGAGTCTATGAAAGATGAGGTGAATCATAGAATTGATGAGGGGAAAAGGGTGAGTGGTGCACTTAGGAGTCTGTGGAGACAAAGAACTTTGTCCTTGGAGGCAAAGAGGGAAATGTATGAGAGTATAGTTTTACCAACGCTCTTATATGGGTGTGAAGCATGGGTGATGAATGTTGCAGCGAGGAGAAGGCTGGAGGCAGTGGAGATGTCATGTCTGAGAGCAATGTGTGGTGTGAATATAATGCAGAGAATTCGTAGTTTGGAAGTTAGGAGGAGGTGCGGGATTACCAAAACTGTTGTCCAGAGGGCTGAGGAAGGGTTGTTGAGGTGGTTCGGACATGTAGAGAGAATGGAGCGAAACGGAATAACTTCAAGAGTGTATCAGTCTGTAGTGGAAGGAAGGCGGGGTAGGGGTCGGCCTAGGAAAGGTTGGAGGGAGGGGGTAAAGGAGGTTTTGTGTGCGAGGGGCTTGGACTTCCAGCAGGCATGCGTGAGCGTGTTTGATGGGAGTGAATGGAGACAAATGGTTTTTAATACTTGACGGGGTGTTGGAGTGTGAGCAAAGTAACATTTATGAAGGGGTTCAGGGAAACCGGCAGGCCGGACTTGAGTCCTGGAGATGGGAAGTACAGTGCCTGCACTCTGAAGGAGGGGTGTTAATGTTGCAGTTTAAAAACTGTAGTGTAAAGCACCCATCTGGCAAGACAGTGATGGAGTGAATGATGGTGAAAGTTTTTCTTTTTCGGGCCACCCTGCCTTGGTGGGAATCGGCCAGTGTGATAATAAAATAAAATAAAATAATTCTCTGTAGTGCTCTGGAATAAACTACCTCTTACTATCTTAATATGATTAGGTGGGTTACACCAGTGGCGGCTCATCCATAGGAGCTGCAGAGCTTCAGTACCCCCAGATGCTCACTCTCAGACGTATAACTTCATCAACTTTACACTAAAATTATTTGCAGCAGACAAATATATTACAGGAAAAATCTGTTGTATGTTGTTTTCAATGTGTTTATAAGCAAATTTTTTATTTTTTTGTTGAAATGAGATAAAAATGATTAAAAATAGAAGTTTGATGTGGTATGATAGTACGTATAGGTATTACTGGTGCTACAAGCCGCCACTGGGTTACACTGTACTGTTTTTAAGGTCTTCCTCTCAAGGGAGGTGCCTTTATACTGGTGAGGGACTCTTGATCCAAGGAACAGGATTTATCTTCCCCTTCTTAGAATCAAACCTGAGTTCTTCCCATTCCCCAGGCTCTGTATGATCACTCTGGGTTTTGGACTTTTTCATGGTTAAAATAAATACAATTTAAAATGATTTATAAGGTATTTTATTTATTGTTTTCAAGATTCTACCTTTTTCTTTTTTATTAATTGAAAAAATACATTTCCTTACAGTGTGTGATCCAGTGATGGGAGACAATGGGAAGATGTATGTGCCAGAAGAATTACTACCGGTGTATAGGAAAGATATTATACCCCTTGCAGATATTATTACACCAAACCAGTATGAAGCAGAGTAAGTGTTTCTAATCATCTTCCTGTAGATTGTACATAGGTCACATTCACCTCACTCACTGCAGTTCCACATATTTTTGAATGTTCTGGTGTTCGCCTACGCGCATCCCTTACTCTTGTAATCATCTTTCTCTTGTAATCTTGTGTCACTTTCACTAATATTCATTTTTTCTTTTTTGTCACAATTATTTTCCACCAAAAGGAAACACATTGACTATCACTCATTCCCTAGCAGTTTTTCTAGAAATCCGTGGACATGACGGTTTAAATTTTACCCATCAAGCCACAGCATCCTCACCCCTCCTTCAGAGTGCAGGCATTATAATTTTCATTTTCAGAGCTCAGAGGTTCTTGATGGGGTTCAAGTCTGGGGAATTTAATGGCCAGTCATCAAAGAAGGGTCCCTTACAGGCACAAAACCACTGAAGAACAGATTTCTCAGTCATGCATAAAAACCTTGACTGTGTAAAAAATATGGATAAATGATCACAAAACAATTCTAAGTGTATGTTAATACAGTTAATGCTAGTGGGGAATGTCTTTCTAGACTTCCCTGGATGTGCTTTTGGTATGGCCAATATCATCAACACCATCCTCAAGAAACTGACACACACACACACTTTGATGGCTTTTACTATTTCCCTCATTTGACGATCTGCATTATGTAATCCAATGATCTGTACAATAGCCTCTTGTGCCAGTGACTTACTCCTACCCATATTAATTTGTGTGGTGGATGGACACAAATCCGTCCACTACACAAGCCTAGAAGGTATGAGTTGCGAGGCCAGCATTAACTTTTAGTCTCGCTGTAACGCCTAATAGGGCAAGGTATTACATTGAAATTAAAGTATGTTGAGCACTATATATATATAAAATTGTAAAATGGTGGTCAGGTGATCAGCAAGAATGAGGTCAGAGGAAGGTGAGATGTCCCATTCAGTTCAGGTTAGGTGACCTGTAACATATAGGTGATGTGATGGGTCTACTCAGGTGAAGGTGAGGCCCATGTCAAAAGAGGTCAAGGTAGACCTTGTCAAATATGCTCTACTCGAACTAGATTCATTTCTGTTAATTTTTCAACCTCAGGTATATAAAGAAGTATTTTTTTATTATTTTTATTATCACACTGGCCAATTCCCACCAAGGCAGGGTGGCCCGAAAAAGAAAAACTTTCACCATCATTCACTCCATCACTCTTGCCAGAAGGGTGCTTTACACTACAGTTTTTAAACTGCAACATTAACACCCCTCCTTCAGAGTGCAGGCACTGTACTTCCCATCTCCAGGACTCAAGTCCGGCCTGCCGGTTTCCCTGAATCCCTTCATAAATGTTACTTTGCTCACACTCCAACAGCACGTCAAGTATTAAAAACCATTTGTCTCCATTCACTCCTATCAAACACGCTCATGCATGCCTGCTGGAAGTCCAAGCCCCTCGCACACAAAACCTCCTTTACCCCTCCCCCCAACCTTTCCTAGGCCGACCCCTACCCCGCCTTCCTTCCACTACAGACTGATACACTCTTGAAGTCATTCTGTTTCGCTCCATTCTCTCTACATGTCCCGAACCACCTCAACAACCCTTCCTCAGCCCTCTGGACAACAGTTTTGGTAATCCCGCACCTCCCCTAACTTCCAAACTACGAATTCTCTGCATTATATTCACACCACACATTGCCCTCAGACATGACATCTCCACTGCCTCCAGCCTTCTCCTCGCTGCAACATTCATCACCCACGCTTCACACCATATAAGAGCGTTGGTAAAACTATACTCTCATATATTCCCCTCTTTGCCTCCAAGGAAAAATTTCTTTGTCCCCACAGACTCCTAAGTGCACCCTCACTTTTTTCCCTCATCAATTCTATGATTCACTCATCTTTCTAGCCCACCCGTGACCGTCCACCCCCAAATATCTGAAACGTTCACCCCCATACTTTCCCCCTCCAATCTGATATCAATCTTTCATCACCTAATCTTTTTGTTATCTAAAAACCTTCTCTTTCCTGTTTTTCACTTTAATTTTCTTCTTTTGCACACCCTACCAAATTCATCCACCATCTCTCAATTCTTTCAGAATCTTCCAAGGCACGTGTCATCAGAAAAGGAGCTGTGAAAACCTCACTTTGTGTGTGATTCTTTATCTTTTAACTCCACCCCTTTCCCAAGACCCTCGTTTTACTTCTTTACAACCCCATCTTAAATTATTAAAAAAACCAGGGGTGACATCACACTCTTGTCAAGGCCTACTTTTCTGGGAAAAAATTTCCTTTTTCCTCATACTCAAAACTTGAGCCTCACTATCCTGTTAAAAAAAACTTTCACTGTTTTCAGTAACTACCTCCTCCCTTTTCATTGCAAATCTCCCCACATTGCCCCCTACCCCCCTGTCATACCCCTTTTCCCAAACCCAAAAATGCCAAAAACCCTCTTTCCCTTATCTAAATACTGTTCCCTTATATTTTTCACTGTAAAACCTGGCCCACAACCCCTTCCTTTCAAAAACCCTCCTTGTTCATTGCTACCCTATTCCCCGTCTTACTTTTTTTTTTTTTTTTTTTTTTTTTTTCAACAAGGGGCCCGTTTTTTTTCCCCACGAGGCAGGGTGCCCAAAAAAGAAAGAAAATCCCAAAAAAGAAAATTTTTTTTATCATCATTCAACACTTTCACCACACTCGACATTATCATGTTTTTGCGAGGTGCTCAGAATACAAAAAGTTAGAAGCATACACATATAAAGTACACAACATTCCCCCCAAACTGCCAATATCCCAAAACCCCCCCTTTAAGTGCGGCATTGTATTCCCATTTCCAGGACTCAAGTCCGACTATATGAAAATAACCGGTTTGCTGAATCCCTTCACTAAAAATTTCCCTGTCACACTCCAAAAAAAATCGTCAGGTCCCAAGTACCTTCGTTCCATTCATCCCATCTAACACGCCCCGCAGCTTGCGGAAGTCCAAACCCCCTTTCCCCCCAAAAAACCTTTACCCCCCCTCTCCAAACCTTTCGGGACGACCCCTACCCCCCCTTCCTTCCCCCATAGATTTTTAGTTTTTCCCTGTCATTTACTTGATCCATTCTCTTAAATGACCAAACCACCTAAAACAACCCTCTTCTGCCCTTGACTAATACTTTTATTAACTCCACACCTTCTCCTAATTTCCACACTCCGAATTTTCTGCATAATTTTTTACACCACACATTGCCCTTAAACAGGACATCTCCACTGCCTCCAACCGTTCCTCGCTGCGGGCATTTACCACCCAAAGCTTCACACCCATAAAAGAGTGTTGGTACTACTATACTTTCATACCATTCCCTTCTTTGCCTCCATAGATAACGTTTTTTGACTCCACATATACCTCAACGCACCACTCACCTTTTTTCCTCATCAATTCTATGATTAACCTCATCCTTCAAATCCATCCGCCGACACGTCAACTCCCAAGTATCTGAAAAACATTCACTTCTTCCATACTCTCCTCCCAATTTGATATCCAATTTTTCTTTATCTAAATCATTTGACACCCTCTCACCTTACTCTTTTCTATGTTCACTTTCAACTTTCTACCTTTACACACATTCCCCAAAAACCCTCCACTAACCTTTGCAATTTTTCTTTAGAATCTCCCTAAGCACAGTATCATCAGCAAAAAGTAAAATGTGTCAATTCCCATTTTGAATTTGATTCCCATAATTTAATCCCACCCCTCTCCAAACACCCTAGCATTTATTCCCTTTAAAAACCCCATCTATAAATATATTAAACAACCATGGTGACATTTCACATCCCTGTCTAAGACCTACTTTTACCGGGAAATAGTCTCCCTCTCTTTTTACACACCCTAAACCCGAGCCTCACTATCTTCAAAAAAAACTCTTTACAGCATTTAATAACTTACCACCCATTCCATATACTTGCAAATCTGCCACATTGCTCCTCTATCCCCTCTATCATATGCCTTTTCTAAATCCATAAATGCAATAAAAACTTCCCTACCTTTATCTAAATACTGTTCACATATATGCTTCATGTAAACACTTGATCTACACTACCCCTACCCACTCTGAAACCTCCCTTTCTCATCCGCAATCCTACATTCTGTCTTACCTCTAATTCTTTCAATTATAACCCTACCGTACACTTTTCTGGTATACTCAGTAAGCTTATTCCTCTATAATTTTTACAGTCTCTTTTGTCCCCTTTTTCCCCTTTTAATAAAGGGACTTACATGCTCTCCGCCAATCCCTAGGTACCTTCCCCTCTTTCATACATTTATTGAACAAAAGTACCAACCACTCCAACACTATATCCCCCCTGCTTTTAAACATTTCTGTCATGATCCCATCAGTACCAGTGCTTTACCCCCTTTCATTTTAGTAATGCCTCACGTACCTCCCCCACACTTACATTCTGCTCTTCTTCACTCCTAAAGAGGGTATACCTCCTGACCAGTGCATGAAATTATGCCTCTGTTTCTTCCTTTAAACATTTAAAAGTTCCTCAAAATATTCTCGCCATCTACCTAATACCTCCTCTCCCCATTACTAACTCCCCTACTCGGGTTTTTAACTGACAAATCCATATTTTCCCTTGGCTTTTTTTAACTTGTTTAACTCACTCCAAAATTTTTTCTTATTTTCATTAAAATTTCTTGACAGTGCCTCTCCCACTCTATCATCTGCTCTCCTTTTGCACTCTTCACCACTCTCTTTACCTTTCTTTTATTTCCCCATATATTCTGCTCTTCTTAAAAACACTTCTGCTTTGTAAAAACCTCTCATAAGCTCCCTTTTTCTCTTTTTTTCCACCCTTTACTTCATCATTCCACCAATCACTCCTCTTTCCTCCTGCACCCACCCTCCTATAACCACAAACTTCTGCCCCACATTCTAATACTGCATTTTTTAAAACTATTCCAACCCTCTTCAACCCCCCCATTTACTCATCTTTGCACTATCCCCCCTTTCTGCTAATAGTCGCTTATATCTC